GTGCGGGTTGGCCATCTGGGGAGGCGGCGTCCGCAGTGCTGGGGCTCTCCAGTAGCTAGGGGACAGGGGCTGCATCCTCCGTAGGTTTGGTGACCGCTCTTGTCTCCTCTCCCTCAGATTGGGCAGCCTCCCTCCCGAAGCTTCTGGACGATAGGCCCCGGGTGTCTCCTGGCATGCCCCATCCCGTGGCGGGGTGCGCGGCCACCGGCCCTCGGGAGAACTTGGGCGGCCCAGGGCGGCCCCGGGGACGAGTGGCCCCGTTTGTGCAGCGGTTGTGAGCAAGATGCGGTAGCACGTGACCCGGGAACACGAACCCTGATGCCGGTTCCCCGCTACCCGAGCGCCCTTTTCTCTGACACTTAGCCCCAAGCACGTGCATCGCAGGTGAGTAGGCAGGTGGGCTCAGCTCAGCCCTGGTGACGTCTTTGGAAAACATCTGGCAAGTGAGTGCCCAGAGTTGGTGCCTTTGTTTTTGGTGCCTTTGAGAAGGTTACAGGTGCGATTTGCAAATGGGTTTATGACCTGAAGGGAACCAAAAATTCAGAAACTAGTGTTGGGTTGAATGTACTCTCATTCATCCTAATTTACTCCAAATGTGAGTAGTTGTTCCAAATAGCCACACATTTATTGTTAGTTGGTTGGCACCTTTTTCTTATGTCTTTGAGTTATTTGAGCCTTTAATGTCTTTGTTTGGGAAAACAAAGTGCATTTTTAATCTCACCTTGAGTATTGCTTGTTACCATATGGCAGGGATGGTAAAGTGGGAAAATTAAGTTCTTAATTTTGCCAGCTTTGTGCTGATGTTTGAAGTACTTTAAGGTACCATCCCAGTACAGTACAGAAACAGGCCAAAGAAATTGTTGTATTTGACTGGTTTTTTTTCACAGCCCTTTCAAAGGGTGTATGCTTAGAATGAGGAAGATGAAACACAAATTGAAACTGTTCACTGCATTTTTCAAAGTGGGTACATTCCAGTTATGTTCTTAAATGTCAAAGAAAAAGGTGTGAGTGAGATCAGCAACGGCAGACAGTCACATAAGTCAGTTAGAAACACACACATAAACTGCACAAGTATGTAAGAAATTAGATTTTACCACAAATGGGTAAGGAAGGAAAGAGAGCTTACCTCATCTTGATTCTGACCCTTTTTCCAAGATTGCATCTTAGAATCCCATATGAGAAAGTAAGTTAGAACAGAATTGCACTTTAGAACGGGAAAGTCTTATGAAGATCTTATTGTACATTCCCTTTTTCTGCTTTCTCTCTTTGTGAAACTAGTTACCTTTAGTTTATGACTGCTGAGGTCATCACATTTTAGTTACAACAAAGCAGAAATCTGCTGAGCCTCTCGCAATAAACTCTGGTTTGAACTGGTTTGAGAAGGCCTAAGAGTCAACCTGGAAATACTGTTTTGATTTTTATCTCGAGATTAGACACATGGATTAATATTCAGGAATTTTCAGAATGGGAGTTGAAGCTACAGACTTTTAGCTGTACTTTAAAAAATTATTGTAACCGATGTGTTGTAGGCCATTATGGCTCTAGTGATTGTAATGTTTTAGTTATAGTTGTAGCTATAAAAAGTTATAGGAAAAGTCTGTTTTAAACCAGCTCAAGCCCAGAAACTTTGAAAATTAAGGTAGCTGGTTTCTTTGGGCTACAAGGGTTTTTTGCACTCTTTTATAGTGTAGTAAAATACTGTTATTAGTGTGCTGTCCTTCCTAACGTGTTCCTCATTTGCCATGTGCTAGCTGTCTTTCTGGTAAGGGTGATGACTTTGTTTTGCTGCATCTAATCAAAAAAAATTTGAGTGGCTGTTTTTTTTTTTTTCCTTTAAAGAAGACCGGTAAGGGGATCTTAACCCTAGACTTGGTGTTGTCAGCACCACGCTCAGCCAGTGAGCAAACCGGCCATCCCTTTATGGGATCTGAACCCGTGGCCTTGGTGTTATCAGCACTGCACTCTCCCGAGTGAACCACAGTCTGGCCCCTTGAGTGGCTGGTTTTTTTTTTTTCCTTTAAAGAAGACCGGTAAGGGGATCTTAACCCTAGACTTGGTGTTGTCAGCACCACGCTCAGCCAGTGAGCAAACCGGCCATCCCTTTATGGGATCTGAACCCGTGGCCTTGGTGTTATCAGCACTGCATTCTCCCGAGTGAACCACAGTCTGGCCCCTTGAGTGGCTGTTTTGTTCTAGGTCAGACTTGTACACTTTATTGATGTCTGAGAGCTTAATTTTATGATCTGTCTGGCCAGGGATAGGATGAAGCCAGTGGATGTCGAATAATGCAGGAAACAAGTCTATGTGGGACTTTAAATGTATCCCACAGTACGAGTAATACATAGACAGGTCCTAATGTATTGGACTTGTGTGGAGTGAAAAGTAAAACAGTTCTTTAATTGTAGTTGAATTTTTCTTACTGGAGTTATAAAAGCTTGAGTTTCAATTAGATGTGGATTTAAATCCGAATTCTGTCTCTTACTAATTATGTTATCTTGGGTTGTTTCTTAGCCTCTCTGAGTCTTAGTTTCCTCATCTTTAAAGATTAAGAATATGTACCTCACAGTAATTATGAGGATTAGGAGAGATAGGTACATGTAAATCACTTGGCCCAGTGCCTAGCACATGGTAAAAGAGTAATAAAATGTTAGCTATATTATTTTCAGATGGATTGAGAAATGGCATTGAGAATTTTCAGAATTAAAAACCTAATTAGATTTGCTTTCACTGCTAAGGAATATGTAGCCCCATTAGATTCCTTTCCTCTGCTTTACTCCTGGCATGTATGTAGGCCACAGAGAAGAATGCATTACTATGATATCCAGTATAAGGACAGGAGATCATTAGAGACCTCTTTTGGCTAGCCTATTGGCTAGCTTCTTGAACATAACAATGTTTATAATGTAGCAGTCTCTAAATTCTGATATAGGAACTAATACTTTTTTATACTAACCTCCAGTAATGTCTTGTTCAAATCAGTATTACTCTTAAGGCATTTTTAATGTCAGTGCAAGATGAATTGTATAGAAAAGATAGATTCTTCAGCCTACCACAAATGATGTATAGATAAAAAGTATGGTAAATTGAAAAACTTTTGGGCAGTATTTTTGCAAGACGATCTGTGCTCTTTCACTTAATTGTTGTGTGATTTGGGGCATATGTCATGCCCTCCTTGAACCCAAGTTTGTTCATCTACCTCACTTTGCAGAATTGGTGTGAGAATTTGGAGTAATTTTTTATAAAGTTTTAGCAAAGCTTACACAGTGAACCTTGATATGTGGAGGGTATTACGATAACTGATTAATTAATAAGCTATTGATACAGAATTTTTAAAAAGTGATCCATTGGGAAGATGTGCTTCTTCACACCATTGATAATCAGAATCAGCCCCACTATTTCTTAACTCCTGGTAAAAAGGATTAGTAAAAATTCTTGACTAGGTTAAAACAAACTGTCTTTAAAAAGTACTGATTTGAAGTAATAAGCCAATTGGAGAAAATAAATATTGTGAAGGGAAAAGCTTGGGTGACTTAAAAAAACAAACTGTCATTGCCATTATGCGCTAAGGATTACAAACTTTGCTTTAAAGAGTGTACATAGGATTTGGAACAAGCCAGACCTGAATTCAAATTCTGTTTCTGCTGTGTGACACTGACTTGAGTTAGTTAACATCTCTGAATCCCAATTTCCTTATCAGTGGGAAGAATATGACATTAGCTCTTTCAGAGAGTTGAGAGCATAAAAGTGAAGTAACTATCGGTGAAGCCCCATATCCTCATTCACACTGTTTCAGCTCTTCAGTATATTAACAGTCACTGAAGTAATTTTTTGCATATCTAATTGTTTATGCTCTTTCCTAGGATGAATGAAATGAACCTGAGCCCAGTGGGGATGGAGCAGCTGACTTCATCTTCTGTGAGCAATGCTTTGCCGGTCTCAGGAAGTCACCTGGGGTTGGCTGCCTCACCCACTCACAGTGCCATCCCTGCCCCAGGTGAGAGCCACTGCATTTCAACACTTAACTGTGTTATCGATTCCAAATGGAGCCTAGAGGGCATCAAAGCCCCTTTAAGGGAAAAGCCAAGCAGGCCTGAATGGCAGTTCCACTTGTGGTAGCATAATAGAAGAAAACATTTTTGTAGCGTACTGGAGTTCTAGTGGATAGGAGCAGCAGTTTTTCTGATAGTCCTCTTTTGGGTTGGTAGCTTTTTTTCCAAAGTGTAATTGACTTAGCATTTTATCTTGGGTTACTCATTCATTTGGTTCACCCCTTAGCACTCTATTGTTGGGTTAATGTAAGACTGTTCCCAGAATGAACAGGGAATTGGGTCTTATTTTCTACTAGGTTTGCAATTGCAAATGTGCCAGGCCTAGAATTATGGGGAAAGAGGTGACACCAGAGATGGAGCTCCTTTATGGAACTCCCCATGAGCCTCAGTAGTCAGAGAGAGGAAAGGCTCATTCTTTCCTATCACTGTACTTTTAAAACCTTTTTTTCTGCCTAGTTTCATTTTTTTTTCTATTGAAATGGAAAAGAAATGAGTAAGCTATTGATTCTTACGATGGTAAGCTGTTGATCCTTAAAGATATATGACATTATAATGTATTGGACTTTATCAAAATAAGATTTAATGTTTAGGAATATTTTAAATAAATCTATAAGTTTGTTTGTTTATTTTAAAAAATATATCACTATACAGTGTAGTTGATTTTTGTGTCCCCTTTGGACTCTTCACTTCATCTCTCTAAGTTAACTTGTTATTAATTTAGTGGGTAGATTGATTCAAATATGAATCTTCATCATGGCAGTGCATGACCAGCCCAAGAGAACAAAATGGGTGGAACATTTTGATCTCATCTGTTTTCACAAAATTGGAGTGGAAAATGTATGTAAATTCCAATACAATTAAGGTATTCGTGCAAGGCTATTCATGTCTCTCTCTAGCCTCCAGTCCAGCATCAGGAACATAATGGGTACTTTATTAAAGGATTGGGATTTTTCATTTGTTGGGTTTTTTTTATTTTTACTTTTTTTTTTTACTTTTTGTCTTTTTTCGTGACCGGCAATGGATCACAACCCTCAGTATCGTGCCCGGACCGGACCGGGACCGGCAACAGGATCGCAACCCTCGGTGTTGCGCCCGCACCTCGCTCAGCCAGTGAGCGGCCAGTCTGTATGTGGGATCCGAACTCTCGGCGGGAGCGCTGCTGCGCTCCCAAGCGGCGCACTGTAGCAGTGCGCCACTGGGCCGGCCCGAGAATTACCTGCTTAATTAGTAAAACATAGCAGTTAAATAAGTTTTATCTAAACTCTGGTCTCTTCACATTCCTTTATGTATCCACAAAATAAGGTTTTTAAAAAATGTATTAGTTGTTAACCCATTTGATTGTCTCTTCGGCATTCCTTTTAGTAGACACTCTTGTTAAGGCCTATTAAAAAATATTGCCCCTGACAGAAATACACAAATCAGCACTGTCCAAGTTGGTGAGTATTTGTTATACTTAGGCACAGTAAGAGTCACTTCAACACTTCGCAAATAGATGTAATCCAAAGTAGATATAATCTAAGGTTTAAATTTTTTATTAATCATTAAGTACAACCTATGTACAAAAGACTGTATGAAAGTGTAAATCTGTGGCTTTATATCTAACTGTATATGATTTTCCAAGTAGAAGCATATCTGAATTTCTTAAAAATGAAACATTCCTAACATATAAAATGGAAAATAAAGTTAAAAAATGTAGGAAAAAATCCATAATATCACTACTCAGAGACTGCTTCTGGGAACACTTTACGTTTCTTTCCATTGTTTTTTCCTGTATAAAATTTTTCTTGAATTGTATTTAAACTAGGTTTTTAATTGTAAATGAAATGTTTTGGTACTTAAGAGCAATACAGACAACTGGAGAATCTACTTGGCATTTTAAAACTAACTTGAGAGGGCCGGCCTGTGGCTCACTCGGGAGAGTGTGGTGCTGATAACACCAAGGCCACAGGTTCGGATCCCATATAGGGATGGCCGGTTTGCTCACTGGGTGAGCGTGGTGCTGACAACACCAAGCCAAGGGTTAAGATCCCCTTACCGGTCATCTTTTAAAAAAATAAATAAATAAAACTAACTTGAGAACTAACTTTGGGACTAGGACTACTTTGTTTAGTCATATTTGTGGATATTCGCACAACAGTATCTATCTAGGGATGAAAGGGGCTACTAGATGAAATTTTTCCCTATACGCAAAAAACTTTGTAAGAGTTTATTTTTATTTATTTATTTATTTTTAAAAGATGACCGGTAAGGGGATCTTAACCCTTGATTTGGTGTTGTCAGCACCACGCTCACCCAGTGAGCGAACCGGCCATCCCTATATGGGATCCGAACCCATGGCCTTGGTGTTATCAGCACCACACTCTCCCGAGTGATTCACGGGTCCAAAAAACTTTCTAAGAGGTTAGCCAGTGGTTATAGAGAGAATTCTTAAGTACTAATTTTCTTTTTTAACTAAGGAAAAAAAATTTTTTTTTTTTTTTGCAGGCCTACCAGTTGCAATTCCAAACCTGGGTCCCTCCCTGAGCTCTCTGCCTTCCGCTTTGTCTCTGATGCTCCCAATGGGTATTGGGGATCGAGGAGTGATGTGTGGGTTACCTGAAAGGAACTACACCCTACCTCCACCACCTTACCCTCACCTGGAGAGCAGTTACTTCAGAACCATTCTACCTGGTAAGTATTATAGTTATTTGGGATGCTAGAAACAAAGAATAGAGCCACCATTTAACCTTGTTCTTGAAGATTTGAATAAAACTTTTCTCTTTTTGTCACTCATATATTACTCTGTAGGTGGAAAAAAATCTTTGTTTACATTTATGTACTTTTCCTCTTAGAATGGGCATATAACACTTTATTAATATAGCAGTTTGAGTAAGCTAAATTTCTTAATTGCACATAAACAATTTTTCTCCTTTCTCCTCTAGCGTCTTGTATACTGCTTATAATTCGGCTGTTGTAATTCCTACCAACCACTTCCTGCTACAGTGTCATTTTTTTTTAAGTTTATTGAATTTTCATTCTGTTATAAAGGTATTATATACTCATTTCAGCAAATTTAGCAAATGAGGGAGAGACTGCTCATAGTCCCATCACCAATCTTTTTGGTGTACTTTCTTCCTATCTTTCGTTTTGGTGTATGGGTTTTTACTGTTTTTCATAATTAATATCATACTTTCTGTACAGTTGTTTACTTTTTTCACTTAATATTTTTCTCTGATTTTTACATAGGTATTTTCCCCTGCTGCTACACGGTTTTCATAATTATCCTTTTTAATGATGCATTCTGTTCTACCGAACGGGTACTTGATGGGCTATTATGTCAATCTTTATTGTGTATAGTTTGGTTTTTCCAGTTTTTTTATTACCATTGTAACTAATGCTTTTATGAACATCTTTGTGCATATAAACTGCATTTAGGGAAGAGTGCCATCAGTAGAATTTCTTGTGCAAGAGGGCGTGAACATTTTTGAGATTCATATATATACTTTCCAAAGAGGTTTTAGTAATTTACACTCCCACTGGCCGTGCAGCAAGTACCATTTCACTGCATCCTTGCAAGCACGAGTGTTGAGATTTTGTTTGTTTTAATAAAGCAGGTATAATTGTGACTGATTTTGAATAGAGTTTAATGTGTTATGGTAGTTTAATGAGTTAAACTAAATTGTATTTAAGTTTTATTTTTCATGTAGAAGATATGCCTTAAAATCATTTTACTTTTTGATTATTTCTTGTAGAGCAAATTTTAGCATCTTAGGACTCAGGAATTATAACCATGTATATATTAAAGACAGCATTTAAATGATTGATTGTCAGTTTCTTTTTTTTTTTTTTTTGTCTTTTGTCTTTTTCCATGTCCGGCAACGGATCGCAACCCTCAGTGTTGCCCCCGTACCGGACCGGGGACCGGCAATGGGATCGCAACCCTCGGTGTTGCTCCCGCGCCTCGCTCAGCCAGTGAGCGGGAACCGGTCTGTACGTGGGATCCGAACCCTCGGGCGGGAGCGCCGCTGCGCTTCCCAAGCGGCGCACTAGTGCAGTGCGCTACTGGGCCGGCCCAATTGATTGTCAGTTTCTTTTTTTTTTTTTTTGTTTTTTGTCTTTTTCCATGTCCGGCAACGGATCGCAACCCTCAGTGTTGCCCCCGTACCGGACCGGGGACCGGCAATGGGATCGCAACCCTCGGTGTTGCTCCCGCGCCTCGCTCAGCCAGTGAGCGGGAACCGGTCTGTACGTGGGATCCGAACCCTCGGGCGGGAGCGCCGCTGCGCTTCCCAAGCGGCGCACTAGTGCAGTGCGCCACTGGGCCGGCCCAATTGATTGTCAGTTTCAAAGAAATATCGTTAAATTTTTAGGATTTGCTTGAGTTTCACAGGAAAAAGTCAATTATGGTATATATATGTTGCTATTTATAAAAGTATATATATTGATTAAATCATAAAGCAGTAGGAAATTATTTTAACTTAATTATATTTGTAAGGAAAATAGCTTCTAGCACTTGGAATTCTTTGTATTTAACAATGTACAAAAAAGTCTTAGATATTTCATCTTTTCCTTTTTTCAGGCATTTTATCTTATTTAGCTGACAGACCACCTCCTCAGTATATCCACCCCAACTCTATAAATGTTGATGGTAATACAGCATTATCTATTGCCAATAACCCTTCAGCACTAGATCCCTATCAGTCCAATGGAAATGTTGGATTAGAACCAGGCATTGTTTCAATAGACTCTCGCTCTGTGAACACACATGGTGCCCCAAGTCTTCATCCCAGTGATGGCCATGAGGTGGCCTTGGACACAACAATCACTATGGAAAATGTTTCTAGGGTTACCAGCCCAATCTCTACAGATGGAATGGCAGAAGAGCTTACAATGGATGGTGTTGCAGGCGAGCATTCCCAAATCCCAAATGGCTCCAGAAGTCATGAACCTCTGTCTGTGGATCCTGTGAGCAACAACCTTGCAGCAGACACTGTAGGACATGGTGGTGTGATACCCATTCATGGGAATGGCTTGGAGCTCCCTGTAGTCATGGAGACAGACCACATTGCAAGTCGAGTCAACGGGATGTCTGACAGTGCCCTCAGTGACTCCATCCACACCGTGGCCATGAGCACCAACTCTGTAAGCGTGGCACTCTCTACCTCACACAACCTCGCCTCTCTAGAATCTGTTTCCCTCCATGAAGTTGGCCTCAGCCTAGAACCTGTGGCTGTCTCCTCCATCACCCAGGAGGTTGCTATGGGAACAGGTCATGTAGATGTATCTTCAGACAGTCTTTCTTTTGTACCACCTTCACTGCAAATGGAAGACTCCAATTCAAACAAGGAAAACATGGCAACCTTGTTTACAATTTGTGAGTGTGCTTGTGTTAGTCTTTCTCTTTTGGAAATATTGGTTAAAAGGGCCATTCATCCCTAAAAAGTTTAGTCACAAAGTCTGCCAATGATTAAGGGAGTATTGAAAGCAACTAGACTTCGGAATTTTTCTTTGCTGTTATGTTGTCCTTTATTTTAATGTGGTCCCTATTCCTCAGGTAAGCCAAATGATATACAAACATTTCCTTTGTTCTTACAGCGTCCTCCTGAAGAAAGGAAACATAAAGTAGTCCTTTCTGTATTTAAGATAAGCTTAGCCCAGTGATATTTAAGGTATTTCCCAAGGTTTCACAAATAGAGAGTTATAGAGGTAAACTTCAGTTAGGCTATTCTGTGCAACTATTTCCAAGCTATGCCTTGTGCTTTTTCAACATAAGACCAAAAAATTATTATTTTTTTTTTTAATTTTTTAATTTTTTTTTTTTTTAAAGATGACCGGTAAGGGGATCTGAACCCTTGACTGGGTGTTGTCAGCACCACGCTCAGCCAGTGAGCGAACCGGCCATCCCTATATAGGATCCGAACCCGTGGCCTTGGTGTTATCAGCACCGCACTCTACCGAGTGAGCCATGGGCCGGCCCCCAAAAATTATTAGATCACTTTTACTTGTATAATTCTATGGAAAAATGTAGGTGGATATAAATGCATTTTTTTGTTGTTCATAGTGCATATGAATTATAGTTGGGCATGTAATAGTTCTTTTTATTGGGCAACAACAAAATAGTATAAAAACAGTTGATTTGTTGGTGTCACTACGTGCTTCATTCATGCAGAGAACATGATTGCTTACTGTATGCCAACTTCTGTGCTAGATGCTGGGAATAGAATGGTCTACAGAGAGACAGTACATACCTTGAAGGAACTTACAGGAAGCATTGGCAAGTAAACAGGCTATTGCAATGCAGTGTGATCAGCACAAAGATGAGGTTAAGCACATGGTGCTAAAGTAGCCTGAATGGGAGCAACCTACCTGGCCATGGAACGGTCAGGGAAGACTTAACCGGGGGAGGTAGCATACATGTTAGTACAGACTGTAGGGATAGGAAGGATGTAGGCAGTTGAGAGTCAGGAAGACAGGAGTTGGCATCTATAAGTTCCTAGAAGTAAAAGAGTCATTAGTGGTCAGAATTGGTGAGGAGAGGAATCGTGGTGAGAGAAGTAGGAACCAGAACACAAATGGTCTTCTAGGACCAGTCAAGGGTTTTGAGGAGTGAGGACTGGGGTGGGGTTCTGCTGTTATGTGACGGCAATGAGATTTGTTAGAGACTAGTAGGTTAGGAAGATGATGCCATAATTTAAATGAAAGGTGATGATTTTCTAACCTAGAGTAGAGGTAATTAGGATGAGGAAAAGTGGAAGACCTTTACAGAGAACTCAAGAGAGCTTGTTGATTGGATGAACAATTGGATGTTGAGGGAGAGGGGAGGGTTAAGGAGAAAACCTTGGTTTCTGGCAGAGGAAACTAGGTAGATAGAAACTAGGTAGACAGAATAATGAAAAATGGAGGATTATTAGGTTATTTTTTTGGAGGAGTGGTGGTAAGTCTAGTTTTAGACATGTTAATTTGTGTCTGTAAGATACCCAGTAGAGATGTGTAATGAAAAGTTAAGTCTCGCGCTCGGAGGTCTATGTCTGGAAGTATTTAGGGATCATGACTATTAATCATGGCTGTGGAAATGGGACAAAATCATCTAGTAAGACTGTGGAATGAGAAGAGCAGCAGAGGAAGAGCTTCCAAAGCAGACTGAACAGGAGGGCCAAAAAAGTAGGAGGAAGCCCAGGATGGTGTGGTGCCACAGAAGCCAGTGGGGAGACCTTCAGTATTAATCTTTTAAAGTTCCAGATTTATAACTTTTAAATAATTTAATTCAAGAATGTAATTAATGTAAGGCTCATTAATTTAGCAGAAGGTAAGAGGTGGCCTAAATAAGCCCCACTGATCCTTTCTGAAGTGGGCACATGGAATCTTTTACTTCTAAGTGTGATTTTTAAAAATGAGATAAAATTTACATGATTTTAAAGTGTACAATTTAGTTGTTCTTAGTATATTCAGAAGGTTGTACAACCATCATCACTACCTAATTTTAAAACATTTAATCTCTCCACAAAGAAACCTCATACTCACTACCACTCACTCACTCCCTACCCATTTCTTTCCCCCCATTCTCAGGCAACCACTAATCTACTTTTTATCTTTGTGGATTTGCCTATTCTGGACATTTCATATAAATGGAATCATATGGTGTGTGGCCTTCTGTGTCTGGCTTCTTTCCCTTAGCATAATATTGCAGTGGCTCATCCATGTTATAGTATGTATCAGTACTTCATTCCTTCTAATAGCTGAATGATATTCTGTAATATGGATATACCACATTTTGTTTATTCATTTAGCAGTTGATGGTTTGTTTCTACTTTTTGGCTATTATGAATAATGAAGCTATGAATACTCAAATTTTTATATGAACATATGTTTTTAATTTTCTTGGATATACTCGTATATCTAGGAGTGGAATTGCTCTGTGTTTAACTTTTTGGGGAACTGCCAGACTGTTTCCAAAGTGGCTGTGCTGTTTTACATTCCTAGCAGCCGTGTACGGAGGTTCCAGTTTCTCCACTCCTTGCCAATATTTTCTTTCTCTCCCTCTCTCCCTCTCTCCCTCTCTCCCTCTCTCCCTCTCTCCCTCTCTCCCTCCCTGTGGGTGTGAAGTGGCATCTCGTTGTGTTTTTGATTTGCATCTCCATAGTAACTAATGTTAAACATCTTTCATGTACTCATTGGTCATTTGTATATCTTCTTTGGAGAAACCTCTAAGCACTTTTTGCAGTATGAAATTTGAATCTTTTGGAGGTGATTCCCCTTCTTAAGAGCATTGGAAAGTCAGTTCTCATTAAATGTAGGTGATCTCTAATCTGGCAATTCAAAGAATTTTTAATCAAGTAGTAGTTGAAGAAGTAATATATTATTACTGTTTCGCCTGAATATGAAAACATCAGTATTTATGCCATTTAAGTAGAAATTTCTTTTTTTTTTTTTTGTCTTTTTCCGTGTCCAGCAACGGATCGCAACCCTCAGTGTTGCCCCCGTACCGGACCGGGGACCGGCAACGGGATCGCAACCCTCGGTGTTGCTCCCGCGCCTCGCTCAGCCAGTGAGCGGGAACCGGTCTGCATGTGGGATCCGAACCCTCGGGCGGGAGCGCCGCCGTGCTTCCCAAGCGGCGCACTATCCAGTGCGCCACCAGGCCGGCCCTTAAGTAGAAATTTCTAATGGATTGCTTAGGAGGATAAGATACTTAGATGGGTGTCCGGCAACGGATTGCAACCCTCAGTGTTGCCCCCACACCGGACCGGGGACCGGCAACGGGATCACAACCCTCGGTGCCAGTGAGCGGGAACCGGTCTGTATGTGGGATCCGAACCCTCGGGCGGGAGCGCCGCCGTGCTTCCCAAGCGGCGCACTATCCAGTGCGCCACCAGGCCGGCCCTTAAGTAGAAATTTCTAATGGATTGCTTAGGAGGATAAGATACTTAGATGGCTGTGGTTCTAAGGTTTACGTATTTTGTGAATGAATTTGGAAAGTTTGAACTGAGTCATTGACTAATAGTGTTGTGAATACTATTCCTTAACAGAGAAAGGAAGGAGTAAAGAGTAGAGCAAAAGAAGTTTTATGGAAAAGGACCCCGATAAACTTGTAAAAATGAAGCTGTAGTGGGCCGGCCAGGTGGCGCACTGCTACAGTGCGCCGCTTGGGAGCGCGGTGGTGCTCCCGCCGAGGGTTCGGATCCCACATACAGACCGGTTCCCGCTCACTGGCTGAGCGAGGTGCAGGCGCAACACCGAGGGTTGCGATCCCGTTGCTGGTCCCGGTCCGGTACGGGCGTGACACTGAGGGTTGCGATCCGTTGCCGGACACGAAAAAAAAAAAAGACAAAAAAAAAAAAAAAAATGAAGCTGTAGTAAGAATAGAGAACGATAGATGAAGGCAGCCGCCTCTCTGACAGTGCAAAAAGAAAGGCAATGCGAACAATAAGAAATTAAGAGTTTTAAGCAAATTCGTCTGCAAAAATATGATTTTACCTGCTCTCCAAAAGAGCAGATTCCCATTTTTTGTTTGTTTTAAGAATGTGTCATCAAACTCTGGACAACCAGTTTGTTGACAATGAAACAAGAGTACAGTGGTATAGCTGACTCTGATTCTGTTGTCCTGTACGCTCATCTATATTTCAGCTCTGCATGACTAACACATTTCAGTTCAGTTTCCTCTTATAGTTCAGCATTGGAATCTTTTGGACTTCAGGGCGTCATATTTAAAAGTATTACTTAACTATTTAATGTAAAGGACAATATACTTGATTGTTGAGTTAATACAGTGTTATTTTTTGATCAGTCTTTCTCTTATGCTCTGAATAGGAAACTTGTCCTGTTGGATTAAAAGAAAAGTCAGATCTATTCAGACTGAAGTCTGAAGAGAGGTATAAGAATAGATATGAATTTTAGTATAAGAAAGTGGTTCTTTGATGAGAATATTTCTCCTAGACCTTACCTCATACTGGTTACATTTTAGTAATTAGCATTTAAACAACAAATCATGTGGTAACTTAATCTACTTGAACTAAACCAATTTGTGTCTCTCAAATTTGCCATCTATAGGGTGCACTCTTTGTGACCGAGCCTATCCCTCAGACTGCCCTGATCATGGACCAGTGACTTTTGTTCCGGACACTCCGATAGAAAGCAGAGCGAGGCTTTCTCTCCCAAAGCAGCTTGTTCTCCGCCAGTCAATTGTGGGAGCAGAAGTTGGTAAGAACTGTGGAACCATAAAACCCTGGCAAGCCTCTTCCTTTGTAGGGTAGAGTTGTAAAAATAGGCTTGTATAATTTACTGATATTTGGTTGATTCAAAAGTCAATTTATGGTTTCAGATTTATGCTTTTAAAGTATATTTATTCTGTCTAGTGGTGATAGCAATAAATCAAGTTGAAAACTTTAATGGGAAACCTCCCCTTTCTTAGAGTCAGGATCGAGTAAGGGAGAGAATCCTGGCCTGAGTCTTTGAAGGCTTGACTTTTATTTTCAGCTGTCTCTTCTCCTAACAGTTATCCTAAGAACACACCACTGAAACTTACTTTCTTTTATAGGAACACGGAAAATTCACCACTGATAATTTTATGGCACAAAATATATTTAAATCAAATATTTGTAAATTGTCTAATACTCCTTAGGAAAAACAAATATGGACTATAAACTGCCAGAGTATACTTAACCCGTATTTGAAATTATCATGGCTTCTGAATTCCTGTGTCATTTCTTTGAAAATATGAAATTAGGTTTATTTTTCTTTTAGAAGTTTGATTTATTTTATAGTAATTACTTTGTATGTTTTTAATAGAATCATGTTTTCTATTCTTTTTTATGTATCAACTCCAAAACAATATATCTGGAGGGACATGGTCAGGTTCCTCATGTATAAAACGAGGTTCAAGAATTTCTGACGCTGCTTCTTACTCTGCATTTCTTCTGAGCCCTATTGAATCTGTTCATCACATTTTACATATTTACAGACTAGCACCCACAAAGCTTAGGTACCTTTCAAGGGTGCTGGCATATCAGTAGTTCTTAGGTTCACGGAAAATTAGATTCTTTGCATGGAGTAAGCACCTCTCTCTTCTATATCCTATTATTGTTTAAATTATTGTTGTGTAATTGGTGTCCTTTTTGATAGGTGTATGGACTGGAGAAACCATTCCTGTGCGAACTTGCTTTGGGCCTCTAATTGGCCAGCAAAGTCACTCCATGGAAGTGGCAGAATGGACAGACAAGGCAGTCAACCATATCTGGAAGGTCAGTGCTGATGAAATTTTTCTGTGACTTCTGGCTGTTTTTATTATGATGAGGTAGTTAGAAAGTTAAAGAAAGTCAGAATTAGCCAGGTCTGATACAGTGCCATTCCCTATAAGTCATCTATTTAATATTACATCCTTTCTATTCTTGGTAGCCAAGTTAAAATGCACAACAAAATGCCAGCTTTGGAAATAGAGGATGAACTGTTTTGGTCTGCGTGTTGTGAAATAATTCAATTTTAGTCATTTTTGTGCATCTTAATTACTTGTGGCAGCTGAGGCCATGGACTTTTGTTTATATAATGAAAGTCTTATTTTGTAATCAACTGAAACATTCCTCAAATATTTACCTTGGGAAACAGTTCTAGAATTAGAAACTGAGATTATTTCTCTAGTTTCCTATCTTTTTGTTGTTGTTTATATCTTGGCGGCTGGCCAGTACAGGGATCAAACCCTGGACCTTGGTGTTAACAGCACCATGCTCCAACCAAGTGAGCTAATTGGCCAGCCTTATTTCTTTAGTTTTCTAATGGGAAGGGCTAGAAATGCAAGGTTTTTATGTAAACAGCTATTCCTTTAATATGTTTGTATAGAATCTCAGTCAATGAGTTGAGAATGATGCTTGCTAAATTGAAGTGAGGGGAAGTGGGTCTTGTGATAATTGGAAAGGTAAGTTGCCACTATCATTGGGGACTTAATAATTTTGGTGTTCAAAATAGAACACAGAAGAATACTAGGTTCAATTGGAAAAATAATGAGAAGGGATTGTACTCTGCCCTTAATGAGACATTCAGTCATTCAGGGCCTACTGTGTACTAGTTAATTAAGACAAGTAGACCTTTTTTTTATCTCTTTCAGCCAAATGGTGGATAATCAAGAACAAAGTCATTCTATATACTGAGTGTAGGTCTCTGATGATTTTTACTGTTTTGCTGAAGGTAGGGGGACTGGTGAAATGATAAAGTATGTGGAGAAGGCAGTCATATTTTCACACCATCTATGAAAGCTGGTACCTATGACAAATGAGTAAAATGAGATGAGTGCTGGCTTAAATTTAGGGTAGTACTTTATTGCTTGTCAGTTCATTGGGCATATGTTTGCTTTCTGTTGGCAGATATACCACAGTGGTGTCCTAGAATTCTGCATCATTACAACAGATGAAAATGAATGTAATTGGATGATGTTTGTGCGCAAAGCCAGGTAAGAGTAGTTTTAGATGAGAGAAATAGTTACCATTTAGATGTTTGTCAACAGGAAGCTTTGCATAAAATAGGGAAGAGCGAAGAATCCAAATTTCACTGATACCTGGACATGCTGAAAAGCTGAATACGTTTCAACTTTTTCAATCTAGTAGTGGTTGACTGATGGTGATTATAAGTCATAATGCATCAAACTGTCTTTTCTTAGTGAACGGTTTATTCAGCGTACTAATACAATAAGCAATCATATAAAGTGGGCGCCTTCTCTTTATTCTGGCTGTTAGTCAACCCCTCAGGCTGTAATTGGAGTTAATTCTTGTTCAGCCTGCTATCTCTGTATCTTTGTCATATTGTTTTTTTAAGACTTCATTTACTCTTTTTTGCTTCCAGTAACAGACTCTAGTGTTTCCGACTATAGAGGATAATCAATTGATGTATACAAGTTCTTCCTAATAGGTAGATTAGGGAATTACAAATATGATCCAGAGAACATAGTAGAAGGGTAGAATTACAGGGCAGGATTGGTAGAAGTAGAATTGCAAGCAACAATTATTAATATCAAGAGCAAGTTTTAAAATTTAAGTATCAGTAGACATTGAGTAATCTTTTAAAAAGTGTTCCTTTTTTTAAAGATATTCTATCTAGGTTTCATATAGGATTTTATTATGGGGGTATGATGTGTTTAGTGTACATTTCAAAATTAATATGCTTGATTTATTAAATGTGATAACTTAGGAACCGGGAAGAACAGAATTTGGTGGCTTATCCTCATGATGGAAAAATCTATTTCTGCACTTCACAAGATATCCCTCCTGAAAACGAACTGCTTTTTTATTACAGCCGGGATTATGCTCAGCAGATTGGTAAGTTAATATAAGATTTGTTTGTCATGAATCTAGCATAGTAAAAACACCAAGGACCAAGAATAAAGTTTTGGTCATGATTTACACACCAGCTGAAGCAAATCACTTACCTTTGTATATATAAAAGCAAGCTATGTAACACCTATATTCGAGGTGTTAAAATCTGTGAATTCTTCACAAGCTGAATGTTGACGAAGCAGTATTCATATGAAATGATCTTTTATGGTAGGCTTTTGATTTGGGGGCTTTGAAGTTCTTGAGGCCACTTTTTGAGCCAACACCACTGAGATTTAAATTCATGAAGGACAGCAAAAGTCCCTTGATTTGACTTAAACTGCATAGGCTATCTCTTTGTGCTGTGTCATGATGACAAGTGATATTCAAGAGTTTGTGTATACAACAAAATCTAGATGTTTTGCCTGCAAAAGGCATTACCAAACATTACCAGTGCTTTCTATGTGCCTGGTACACTATTTAAGTTGCTGAGGATAGAGCATTGTATAAGACATTTTAGTTTTACAGGTAATGGGCAAGTTGGAAATTTTGGTAGAAAGGAAAATTGCAAACAACAATTATTAATATCAAGCACAAGTTTTAAAATTTAAGTATCAGGAGACATTGAGTAATTGTTTCTTAAAGGTGTTCCTGAACACCCAGACGTGCACCTGTGTAACTGTGGCAAGGAGTGCAATTCCTATACAGAATTCAAAGCCCATCTGACAAGCCACATCCATAACCATCTTCCTAGCCAGGGCCACAGCAGCAGCCATGGGCCAAGCCACAGCAAAGAAAGGAAGTGGAAGTGCTCGATGTGCCCCCAAGCTTTTATCTCTCCTTCCAAACTCCATGTCCACTTTATGGGTCACATGGGCATGAAGCCCCACAAGTGTGATTTCTGTAGCAAGGCTTTTAGTGATCCCAGCAACCTGCGGACCCACCTCAAGATACATACAGGTAAGTTGTACTGGACTATCAGAATAAAATTTTTGCAGTAATTAAAAATTGTGTTAGTAAAGGCTTTGCAGAGAGATGATATTGAAGATAGAGTTGAAATGTGATGTCAGTGATAGAATCTAGATGGCAGATGGCTGTTGGCAGGGCCTCATTGGGTGGTAAACCTTCATGGGATAACTGAGGTTCCCGGAGGGCATTACTTCCAGTTATTAAGAGGTTCTACTTTCCAGGTGTCCCTATCATAGTTTGAAGGTTCCTGGGAAAATGCAGTTAATAATCAGGAAGTTCATCAGTGTGTCTGGACTTAAAGCAAAGGGAAATCTTTAGAAGCAGCCTGAGCTTCCCATTAGAGCTCACCCCTCCACCAGCCAAAACCAGTTTCTGTCCATTGAATATTGCTCAGTAAACATTGCCAAAATATGTTTTTTGAGCTTTCATCTTTTTTTTTTTTCCTTTTTGTCTTTTTTCATGACCGGTAACGGGATCGCAACCCTCGATGTTGCGCCCGCACCGCGCTCAACCAGTGAGCAGACCGGTCTCTATATGGGATCCGAACCCTCGGCGGGAGCGCCACCACGCTCCCAAGCGCCGCACTACTGAGTGTGCCACCGGGCCGGCCCTTGAGCTTTCATCTTCTAAACTCCATGCAAACCACCTCTTTTCTTTTAGTATTTATTTTTCTCATACATAATACAAAATAACTAAAGTTTTATTTCTTGGTTGGGTCATTTGTTCTCCAAATCTTCAAAGGGAGGTTTCTTTCTCATCCTTTTGCATTAATTGAATGGTTGCAACGAATAGCGTATGGCCCACAAAGCCTAAAATACTGACTAGCCTTTAAAAGAAGGTCTGCTGGGCTGGCTGGTTAGCTCAGTTGGTTAGAGTGCTGCCTTATAATGCCAAGGTCAAGGGTTTGGTTCCCTGTGCTGGCCAGTTGCCAAAAACGAAATAGACAAAAAGATCTGCTGACCCTTGACTTGGAGAGATCTTATTTCTGCATTCTTGGAAGGAGTTTATTTCATTCCTAGTTTATGAGGTCATATTATATGTTTAAAAAAGAGAGCTAGAAAACTATAAAATGTAGCTCATAAATATATGTTTGCCTAAAGAAAAGTACTAGAATTCATGAGTTGTTCTTTTGTTTATAATTGTGTTGGAGGGGCCTGCCCGTGGCTCACTCGGGTGAGTGGTACTGGTAACACCAAGGCCATGGGTTCAGATCCCTATATAGGGATGGCCGGTTAGCTTACTTGGGAGAGTGTGGTGCTGACAACACCAAGTCAAGGGTTAAGATCCCCTTACTGGTCATCTTTTTTAAAAATAAAAATAAAAAAATTGTATTAGGGCACTAGGATTATAAGTGAATTTTTTTCAAATTTAAGTCATATGTAAGCTATAAACATTCAAAAATATATACGCAGTTGACCCTTGAACAACATAGGCTTGAAGTGTGTGGATCCACTTATATGCAGATTTTTTTCAATAAGTACAGCTGGCTCTCTGTACACATGGGTTCCACATCCCTGCATGTCCACATTCAACCAACTGTGGATCAGAATACTTGGGATATGGAACCTGTGTTTAAGGAGGGCCAACTTTTCATGTAGGCAGGTTCTGCAGGGCCAACTTTGGGACTTGAGCATCCGTGGATTTTGATATCCATGGAGAGTCTTGGAACCAATTCCCTGCATATTCTGAGGAACAACTGTATTTAGGTAGGAGGTCCTAAAGGAACTTTACTATCTTTAGTTGCAGAATATAAATTCAGTAGCTCTGAGTGGTTCTAGGTAGATAGCCCTAGAAAGTAAAGTTCCACTTACCAGTCAGCTCTGCTTTATTCCTGCTTCTGCTGCATACCCACTCATGCCTGTTTGTCTTGAGAATGAATGCCAGCAGTTGTTTTCTTCACAGTGTGATAATTTGGGTTAATTTGCAGGTCAGAAGAACTACAGATGTACTTTGTGTGACAAGTCTTTCACCCAGAAAGCTCACCTAGAGTCCCACATGGTTATCCACACAGGCGAGAAGAATCTTAAGTGTGATTACTGTGACAAGTTGTTTATGCGGAGACAGGACCTTAAGCAGCATGTGCTCATCCACACACAGTAAGTTACCCTTCAGCCATGCTGTTGTCGTTTGGATGGTGAGCCATTGTGTGGGCTTGCGAGTGCTGGCTCATCATCTGTTTCCTGCCTTGGTACCCTGGTAGATACCTCCTGTGTTCCATATAGCCCCAAACACTTAAGTTTTGGGTTTTATCCTGGAAGATTCCATTTGTTTGCTTTCTTTTTCTTTTCACATCTACTCTCTGTATTTACTTCTATTCATGTTTTCAAAACATAATCTCGTATATTTATTGATTTAACACTTTTTGTTAAGTACCTCTTTGTTCTCCAGCATTGTGCTAGGTGATAGAAATATAGAGAGAACAGACACTGTCCCTACCTTTAAAGAGCTCAAAGTCCAGTAGGAGAAACAGACAAGTAAATATTTATCATACTGTGTTGCAGTTGTTAGTAAGCTTTGGATACTGAAAGACCATAGAAAAAGGCACCTAACCCAGCCTAGGAGAGTCTGGGAGAGCTTCCTGGTAGTTTGACCTAAGTCTTAAAGAAGATAAATGAGAATTATTCAGGGAGGTAAAAAAGGGTAAGGAATGAGAATGGTATTCTAGACAGAACCCAACCATGCTGGTACCCTGATCTCCAACTTCCTGCCTCCAGAACTGTGGGAAAATAAATTTCTATTGTTTAAGCCACCCAGTTGGCAAGGGGAGCGGGGAGAGAGAATGAGAGCTCTGGTCTCTTCCTCTTCTTAAAGGACACTGATCCTGTCATGGAGTCCCACTCTCATGACCTCATCTTAAACCTAATTACCTGCCAAAGCGCCATCTTACATTGAGGGTTAGGCCTCAACATATGAGTTTGGGGAGGTGGGAGAGATATAATCACCTGGGCAATGTGAAAAACAGCAATTAGTGCCAGTACCCCACCCTTGGGGATTCTAATTTAATTGGTCAGGGCTAAAGCCGTGGCCTTGGTATTTGAAAGAGCTCCCCAAGTGACTCTGATGTCCAGCCAGGATTGAGAATAGGTTTATCCAAATGAAAGACTTTCTTCCACAATATCTGTGCCAAGTGGATATATTGTTTCTTCTTAAATACCATACAATTGATGTAGTTTTGAAGAAACGTTTTACTTGAATCAAATTGATATCGGCCTCTATCTTTCATTCTATATCTGCCCTTTGGAATGATACACATAAGTTAAATATTCCTCTAAATTGATAGCCTTTCATACAATTTATGGTCACTATTAAGTTCTCATTAAGCTCTCCTTTCATTGAGCCAAATGTCCCTAGGTTTTGCAACTTTTCCTCATTTCACCTAGTTTCAAATTTGATACCCAAAAATGAGCACAGTATTCCAGATACGTTCTGTTTAGTATATAAAATGGAGTTATTATCTTCTTTGACCTTAACTGTTTCCTCAAGTAATGCCTAAATTTGCACTTGCTCTTTTTGTAGCCACCTCACAGCATAATGCAATACAAATTATTTTGAGATTCGTTGTGTGGCTCTTTCCAGTTGGGTTGAGAATAGACCCTATCAGGTACTGACCAGTGAAAACACTTTCTTATCAAATGTGAATTTGGACTCTTTGTTAGGATGAGGAAATATCATAATCTTCTTTGCCAAACTTCAGTAGCACAGAAATTTTTGGACTGTCAGAACTAAGCTGGTATAAGTCATTCATATAAGAAACACTATTCACTCAAAATATATTTGGATGAGACTTTAGGCTTTCTGTAGAGATCATTAGTAAAATTCTCAGATGTTTGTATTTTTACTTTTGGGCATTTCACATGGATATAGGTAGGATATTGGCATTCTTTATTTATCCGCTTAAAAAGAAAACAGCCGCAGCCCTAAAACCAAATGCAAGAGGAGTTCCTCTCTTACAGTGTTCCCCTGAGAGTGGAAGGGCTGTGGCAGAAACTGGCTTTGCTCTTCCTCTAAGAGAGGAAGAGCAGTGATGCCTATTCTCAGGTCATCTCCTTAGTCTCTTGGCTTCATATATCATCGTTATGATTTATATCTCCAGCCTCATACATCTAACCATCACTCAGCAGCTCTGATGGTTTGGATGTCTACTAGGCAACTCAAACCAAACATGTCCAAAACTCAGCTCTTATTAATACCCTACAAACCTGATTTCCCCAGTGTTCAACAACTGGTAACTGGCATCTCCAGTTGCTCAAACCAAATACCTTGGAGTGATCTTTAACTCAGTCTTTCATTCCTTCCTTGACTCAACTGTCACCTTGTCCACACCACCCGCTTCTCTTGTGTGGACCAGTTCAGTAGTCTCTCAGTTGACCTCCCTGCTGCTGCTCTTTATCTCTCTTCATGTGTTCCCCAACACACAACTGCACATAGAAATAGTATATTCTATCCATGTTGCAGAGAAATCTATTTCACATACAAATGAAATAGTGCCCATCTCCACTCATAAGTCACCAGTGGTTTCCCATCATGTTTGTGTTAAAAGGTCTTTACCACAGCCTCGAAATCCCTTTATGATGTGGTAGTGGTACTTGGCTACCTCTCCCACTTCATCTTTTATTACGTTTTTCCTCATATTCCACTTTAGCCACACTGGCCCTTCTCTTGCTACTACTTGAATATGCGGAACATACTCCAGTCCCAAGGCCTTTGCTCTGTACTGCCTCTACCTAGAAACTTCTCCCCCCATATATCTGCATGTCTTCCTCCCTCGTTCCATTCAGTTTTCTGCTCAAATGTCATCTCCTTAGAATGGCCTTCCTTGACTGTCTTATCTAAAACAGGACCCCATCACTCTTACCTGGCTTCATTTACTTTCATAGTATTTCTTTCTTTCTGATATCATGTTCTATATTTTTTATTTGTGTATGGTGTAATATCTCCACTAGAATATAAGCTCCATGAAGATGGAGACCTAGTTTAACCACATCCTGCAGCCCTAGCATCTCAAATGCCTGGCATATATTAGACACATAGTAAATATGTGTTGAATGCACATGTAAAAATACCACTGTACTAGAGGATGAGAGGTTAGACTTCTAATTTGGGTTGTGTTATGGCCTTGGGCAAAGTTACTTAATTTTCATGCACATAATTTTTGCCCTCCACAGAATTAAAAGATTGGATCAGATTGTTGGTTTTATTATTTTTTTTAATTTTTATTTTTTTAAAAGATGACTGGTAAGGGGATCTTAACCCTTGACTTGGTGTTGTCAGCACCACGCTCTCCCAAGTGAGCTAACCAGCCATCTCTATATAGGGATCCAAACCTATGGCCTTGGTGTTATCAGCACCGCACTCTCCTGAGTGAGTCATGGGTCAGCCCAGATTGTTGGTTTTAAAACGGCTCTAGGGAATTCCACAGGTTCCACATAACTGTTCATTGCCTGCCATCTCTTGCAAGCAGAGGATGATAGAAATGCTAAGGACACCAGGCTTCAGAACTCCCCACTGCACCCTACCACTCTTTCAAGTATTTTAACTATTTCCTATCGGGGTTTCATTAAGACATCGGGTTCAGCTGCTCCAAAAGAGTTGAAAAATTCCTGGTCTGTATGTTCTTTAAGGTTCTTTTTAACTCTAAAATGGCCAGGGTTACTGAAACCTTGATGCTATTGACATTTTGAGCCAGTTAAGTTTTGTTGTGGGGCTTCCCTATGCATTTTAGTGTAATCTAGAAGTATCTTTGGCCTTTACCCACCAGATGCCAGTAGCACCGTCCTCCCCCCCCCCCAGTTATAACAATTAGAAATGCCTTCAGACATTGCCCAGTGCCTCCACAGAGGCTGTCACCCCTAGCTGAAAACCACCAGTTTAAGAGAAGGACAGAAAAGTGGCAATTTCATGAAAATAGAGTTCAGGGAAATACTGATTAACACCATAGTGAGATACTATTATGTACCGTCCAGTTGGCAAACATATTTCAAAATTGAGTCTCCCAATTGTTGGTGAGACTCTGGGGCAACAGGAACTCTCAAGTGGCTATTGATGGATGTGTATATTGATAGCGGAAAACAGTTCAGCATTATCTAGTAAAGTTGAAGTGTACATATCCTTTGAACCAACTGTGTTGCTCTGGGTTATATACCCTAGAGAAACTCATATATTTTGTAGAACAACATATTCAAGTGTAGAAATGTTTGTAGCAGTCTTGCCTGTGATAATAAAAAACATCCATTAGCAATAGACGAATCCAGTAGCATAAGTAGATAAGTTGTGGTATATTCATAAATAGTATATACAGCGAGGAAGGGAACAAACTACTGTTACTTGGCAGCAACTTGAATGAATTTCACAAGCGTCATATTGAGTGAAAGAATCAAAACACAAAATAATGGTCCCTTGGACATAGAATTCTAAAATAGAATCAGCCCATGATGTTAAAACTATACAAATATTTTATGACTTTTTTGTATGATTCTAGAAGGGCAGAGCTTCTCTGACAAAAATCTGAGGTTGTGAAGAATAAATGTGGGCCTTAGTTGTCATTTGTAACTCCAAATCAAATGTTTTTTTCTTGTGTTCCTCTTAGAGAACGCCAGATCAAGTGTCCCAAGTGTGATAAGCTGTTCCTTAGAACAAATCACTTAAAGAAGCATCTCAATTCTCATGAAGGAAAACGGGATTATGTCTGTGAAAAATGTTCAAAGGCTTATCTAACCAAATATCATCTCACCCGCCACCTGAAAACCTGCAAAGGGCCCACCTCCAGTTCACCTGCACAGGAGGAGGAAGAAGAGGATGACTCAGAGGAGGAAGATCTAGCAGACTCTGTAGGGACAGAAGACTGTAGGATTAACAGTGCTGTGTATTCAGCAGATGAGTCTCTCTCTGCACATAAATAAAAGAAAAAGAAGCGAACTATTTTGGATGGAAAATACAAAGGGGAAAACACACATAACCAGTTATTTAGTACAATGGTTTTTATATAGTGGTTTCTGATTTCTTTCCAACCAATAGTCAGACTGAGTGGGAATGGATAAAGCACTTCAAGAAGAGTAACCTAATGAAAACACTTTATAACATATTGGGAAAAGAGAGCATGTGCCCTATTTTTAAGTGATGGATGAGAAGGAAAGTGACAGCTTTTGAGGTCTGTTCTTTATTTACATGATAATCTGGGAGATGCATTTATGTCTGAATCAAAACTGCCTTCTGCCCAAACAAATCAGATTTATTTAAAATTCTTCCATTATTCCATTTTCGTCTCAGCCTTGTGACTTGGTAACACTTTAAACTTGGTCCCTGCCCCACAGTCATCCTGATTACTGATTGTGTTTTATGCAAACTGTTATGACTTAGACTCATCCCAAAATGGATTGGAACACAGTAGTGTGTTACTTAGACTGCAGCTAACAAGTTTAAAGCAGCACCTGCCTTAACCTCTCCTGGCTCCTTGGGAGTTTAGGGTAGATCTTGCTTCCCAAATTTTCAGCAGATGCTTAGAGCGCAAATAAAAAAGGAGCAATCAGTCAGTAGGCAGTGATGGAGAGAAGAAAAGAAGGAAAGATGCCTGGCTACTGTCGAAGAAACTGGATTTGATGAGAGCTAGGATGAGTCACGTGGTTATTGTTACATAGAGATCTTTGTAGGTTTAGACATGTCTTTCTCTGTCTCCAGTAAAGCCTCCAGCCATTCAGACAAAAAGGACCTGGAGGCGTGGAGAGCCCAAATAATGCCTGCTGGATTATTTCCTGACAATAAATACATGTGGATTCACCTGAAAAGTGGTACATCAGCCCATGAAAGGGAAGGCAGGGAATCTTTTTTGTTTGGTTTACCCTATGGAAAGTATCAAGACACCATTAAGATGTTGCCAACCCAAAGCAACAAGTGACTCCAAAGGCATTGGTGCATTTGCGAGGTTAGACCTTTCCAGTTGTCTCTGAACTGAAGGACCTCACTGGGTAAGCATGGAGAATGCCAAAGGATTCAGAAGGCAAAGGAGGCTTAATGGTTACCATGTGGCCTTTTTTCAGGGTCCCAGCTTGCGTTGTCCATCCACCCAGTCTTTGTGTCTCACTTGCATATCCAGCTTTTAGCAAGGAGCAGGCACATGCTTAAGTCAACAGGGTTGGTGGAACATGCTCTCTTCCTCAGAGGTACAACCTCTGGGCTGGAGTACAGGACCCTGGTGGGAAGGTTTTGCTGCTAATGTATTTATGGAATGAATATGTTTCATTCAAATCTGTATTCCTCTAGGAAGGATTAAAATAAAAACTTTTTTAAAATATGGGATTCCTCTTCTAATCTCGTTCTGTGGGGGAAGATGAATGAGTCTTTTAGGGGATAATCAAATATAACTTGAGTTTTTCTAAGGTTAGAAGGGTAAAAAGCGTTTTTTAAGTATTATGGCTTTGAGATCGTATTGTAATTGTTTCTGCTTAATAGTGCTTAGACAAACTATGCTTCCGGTGTTTCCAGCCCTCCTCTTCTGCCCTCTTCCTCCCTAAGGTATTGCCCTTACCCTGCTGCCTCCTTGGAGAGTTGTGGCAGGTCTATAGTTGAGAGCAGAGGTGATACATTGTGGGTAGTTAGGGGTGGCTGCTGACACTGGGTCACGAGGTGTCCTTCAGGGCAGCTCTGGTGCCTGGGCAGCTCCAAGCTCAGCCTGTTGCTAAAGGCATCCTAGTCGCAGGCTTCCCCTTTTCCCAGAAAACCACTGGCGATGGAACTACAAGTTCCCTTTCTTACTTTATCCCAGTAGCACATGCTGGGTTCAGTTCTTTCATTTTCCATCACTGAAATGCTGCCCGAGATAGTTAAGCCTAATGTCAAAAAAAGCAGAGGAAGTCTGGAAAACAGTTTAAGTGAGAATGTAGCTGTTATCGCTTATTATTTACAACCATCTCTTCCATTTCTTACCTCTTAGGTTTGAACGGCACATTTAAAGTCATTTCTACAAGATGAATAAATTAGTAACCGCCCTTTTGACAGGATTTTACTTTGAGCCTTCACTGCCCGTTGCAGGTTGCATCATCTACTGCTGCTGTGGGTAAACGGTTACATTGAGGGGCAGGATATGAGTGGTGTGAGCTCTGGAGCCCTGCTGAGTGTTCTCTGATGTGGGCTTTGCTGCATGATGGTGGTTTGTAACTTTGGCCAAATAATGTAAGCTCTGCCTCTTTACCTAACTGTAAATAGGGTAATGAGTTCCTGTTTCTTAATACTGTTTGGGTGTTAAGTTAGTTAATGTTAGTTAATACGTGTCAACAGCTGTCACAATGCTTGACATACGGTAAGCAACAGTAGCTAACATTCTTCAGTTTCATATCAGCCTCGATTTGCATGGATTTCTGTCCTAAAAAATGGCTGTAGATGAGACAAGAAGCCCTAGATTTTAGTAATGCAAGTAAAACTGGAATAATTCGAGTATTCAAGGCTAAAGTCTAGAAACTAGTTTGTAGTATTCTTGTAGATCAGTGTATGCTTGGTGTTTCTTTCCTTAATAGGCAAATTGCTCATATCCTTGCATATGTGTTGAGCTGAGGTTCTCAGCCACCTCAGAGGGCAGAAAGGTGACAGGAACTAGAGTCTCCACCAGCCTCTTCAGACCATTGGCCTATATGCACTCTTCCTAGTAAACACTCCTTTACGTGTGTCCTGAGAAGCATAAACATGGCAGAAACTGTCAGCCCCTCATCGAGTATTATCCAATCACTGTACCGAGTCTTGGAGGCAAACACTGAAGAACGACGTATCTTCATGTGCACAAGTGATTGCTGTCTTAGGGACTGAACAGTCTCCACCACGCCCCCCCCCCAAAAAAAATAATTCATATGTTGAAGTCCGAACCTCCAGTTATCTCAGACTGTGACCATATTTGGATATGGTCTTTGAAGAAATAAGTTAAAATGAGGTCCTTAAATTGGGCTTTAATCCAAGATGACTGGTGTCCTAAGAAGAGGAAGTTTGGACATGGACTCATACAGAGGGAAGACAATGTGAAGACACAGGGAAACAATGGCCAGCTGCAAGCCGAGGAGAGAGGCCTGGAATGGATGTTTGCCTCACATCCCTTGGAACGCTCTGGCTGATACGCTGATCTTGGATTTCCAGACTCTAGAACTGTGAGACAATAAATTTCCTTGTTGAGACCACTCAATTGTAATTTTGTGGCAGCCCTGGCAAACTAAACACTGCCTAGCCAAATATACCCTCCTTATAATGACTGCTTAAAGAGGAGCAGCTACCGAGGGCTGGCCGGCTAGCTCAGCTGGTTAGAGTGTAGCCTTGTAATACCAAGGTCAAGGTTTGGTTCCCCTTACCGGCTAGCTGCCAATAAAAAATAAATAAATAAAAATAAAGAGGAACATCTTCCAGAATAGTGATTACAATTTAACCTCAGTTTTACAGATTGTCATGAGCAGCATAAAAGACAGTAACAATTTGTAGTGGTATATATTACACCAGCAGATTTCTCTGCTAGCTACCAAGAGGGATGGAATCACTTCTCAACTATTTTTTCGTTCCTTAGTTTTTCTTTCATATACACACTTGAGGGGCATCAGGCCCTTAGGCCTGTGTAGTACTCAGACAACGACAGCGTTCTTCTCAAAAACCATTTATTGAGTGCCAGCACAATTGACGGCATTGTAGGGGGAACTGAAAAGTGACTAGGACTCTGCTGTTACCTGTGGATACTAAAAATCTTACGGTAGCTCCAAGACCTGGCCTAACATCGGATTACCCAAGGCAATGAAAATGTCAGGTGTCCAGGTCAGCTCCAGTGCTACTGATGAGATTCCCGGGCTCTGCAGGTGATTCTGAAGCAGTCCACAGGAGCTTTATGTTGGGAACCATGTAAGATATAGATGTAGACATCAATATCTAATGCATGTCAAACTATGGCTAGCATCATAATATAGGAATAAAGTATTAAAATCTAGAAGCAGGAGTGAAAAAGTCACTGTTAAAAAGAGAAGTCTAAGAGAAGAATAGTAAAGAAAAGTGAGCAAGACAAATCTGGCTGTGTTAATGAAAGAAGGCTGGGCTTTTCGAAAAGAATAAGAGATCGTGTCTAGAAAACCAGGTCATTTGAGATACAGGAGTGAAAATGTTAGAATGCCTAGTTTAGCAAATCAGTAACAGTTTTTTATTTTAATTACAAGGTAGTGTTTATTTGTGATAGGCATTGTTCTAATTCTTTATAAATAACATATTTAATCTGCACAGAAGACCAGCAGTCATCCCTAGTTTACTGAGGTGCAGAGAGATTACGTAATTGTCCCAAATTTACACAGCTAATTAGAGGTAGAACCAAGATTTAAATAGTCTGTGCCTAACCACTGAGCTTTGTTGATTCTTCAATAGTGGCCTGATTAAAATTGGGATCTCACCATGGCATATATCCAGGCTACAAGTCTTTTAAAGAAAGAAACACAAAATCTAAACTATTCTGTATAGACAAAGCATATTTATATCCATGAATTAGGGAGCTCGTAGAAAGCATGCTTTGTTCTTTGTATTTTCTGCTTCCCTGCAGTTTCCCTCCACATCCCCCAGCACAACTTTTATACTGCTACATACTTGCTGAAGCTCAGGCTGGACATGGGCTCTGGAGTAGGACAAACATCAGGATCAGTTCATGGCCAGATTGAGGGGAGAAAATCAGTCAAGGTGAAGGTACTTCAGGGAAATTTATTTCTTGAAGCACTGGTCAATAGACACAAGTTGGCCCTTCTCAGCCAGTACTGCCTAGGCACTCGTGACACATTTGTTTGCAAATATAGTGCGTAATAGTAGTAAGTACATTTAACTTTATCATCAGTCCTCATAGAGCATTATAAAAGTGGTTTTACACTGATTTTCCAGATGTTGAAGTTGAGAAAAATTATGACTTTCTGTATTTTATATTCAATGATTTGCTGCCCTGGAGCACTTTTCAGAATGTGTATATTTCTCCTCCAGGGGTCTTTTCCATGTTAATCTAAATGAAGCATAAGTTATTTTGACTCTCTGTTCCGGGGCATGGAGAAGAAGACCAGACCACCCTCCCACAACCAGGCACACCACGCCAGCACCCTGGGGCCTGCCCGGGGACCCAAGGCAAGGAGAAGGGGACTGGACCTCTCTCCCACAACCAGGCACACTGAGCCCACGCCTTGGGGCCCACCCAGGGACCCAGGATATGGAGTCAGGAACCGGACCACCCCCCACAACCAGGCACAACATACCAGCGCCTCGGGGCCTACCCAAGGACCTGGGCTTTGAAGTTGGGGACTGGACTTCTGTCCCACAACCAGGCACAACATGCCAGCTACTCGGAGCCCACCTAGGGAACCGGGGCAAGGAGAAGGGGAATGGTCCTCTCTCCCACAACCAGGCACACGAAGCCAGTACCTCAGGGCCCACCCACAGTCCCGGGACATGGAGAAGGGGACCAGACCAGCCTCCCACAACCAGGCACACTACGCCAGCACCTTGGGCCCTGCCCAGGGACCCAGGGCATGGAGAAGGGGACCGGACCACCCTCCCGCAACCAGGCACACTGAGCCTGCACCTTGGGACCCACCTAGGGACCCAGGGTATGGAGTCAGGAACCGGACCACCCACCCACAGCCAGGCACAACATGCCAGCACCTCAGAGCCCACCTGGGGGCCTGGGGCATGGATAAGGGGACTGGCCCTCTCTCCCACAACCAGGCACAACATGCCAGTACCTTGGGGCCTGCCAGGGGACCCAAGGCAAGGAGAAGGGGACCAAACACACCCCACAGCCAGGCATACCGCCAGTGCCAAGGAGCATGCCAAAAACAGCACCCCCACGTGGGTGGCCCACCACAGTCACCACGATAACCATGGCTGCTGCAAAAGCAGCTAGATGGCACAGCCACCACGCAGATGGTCCGCCAACCACTGGAGTGCATTCACACAAGAAGAGTCACCAGCAGAGACAAAGAAAAGAAGAGGATGTCTCTTTCCACAAAACCCATTTCAGAGTGACGGTAGAAGCATCTGCTCTATGATAATATTGGGGGACCTGATCACATCTCTCAGCGTTGGACAGATCATCTAGGTAACAAGTTAACAGAGTAACCATTACCCTTTCAGAAGGAGAGAAGAAATCTAGGCAATTAGAGGGCGGAGGGGGAGTGAATGGCGGAAAGGGAGAGTTTGGACAAGGGGCATAAAGAATAATTATGGGGCCGGCCCGGTGGCGCACTGCTACAGTGCGCCGCTTGGGAGCGCGGTGGCGCTCCCGCCAAGGGTTCGGATCCCACATACAGACTGGCCGC